GACCCCGCGCAGCCCCGCAGAGACGCGCGTGTCACCCGCCCGGCCCCGCACAAGCTCCGCACCCAGTGGTAGCCGGCGCCGGCGCACTGAACAGCCGACCCCGCACGGACCCGCCCTGGGCACGAAAGCAGGCTGTTGTGGTCGTGGTCGCGGCCCCCACCCTGCTCTGGCTGTCAGGGCCGCCTCGCCTCCCATGACAGGCGGGGAGGGGGAGAGTCTGGGAGGGGGGCCTCTGGGGAAGCCCTCTGGGCGGGGCAGATGGGGCCAGGGCCTCTGAGTGGAGCAGGTGTGCATCCCTCCCCACCATGTCCCAAGATTCTCATTATAGGCCACACCTGAGGCCCTGCCTTGTTGGCACCGCTTTCTGGGGCAGTGGGGACACCTGGGCCCACCTGGGTCTCTCATTCTAGAGGATCAGAGGGACAATCACACAGTGGGTTGCAGTCTGGAACACACTAGATGTGCTAACTCATGTTCTCAGACCTCTGTATGGATATGTGTTCCCGACACGTGTGAGCGAGTGTGTGGAGGGAGGTGATCTGTGTAGGCTCACAGGAACCCCTTGTGGCGATCTCGGTGTGGGAGAAAGGGACATAGAACCAAAGGAAATCCCTCCAGGTATGGCGGAGAGTGGGATGCTGAGAGAGGAGCTTCTGACCCTAACACCTAAACTGAGACAGGATGGGATTGGGAGGTTGAGGTCAGCCAGAGCAGGTGGCCAGGGAACCGCAGAATCAAAGTGAGGGGGCGGAGCTGGAGCAACCAGTCTGAGGCCCCTCTCCCATCACTGGGGACACACAGATGGTGCTGGGAACATGTGGTAACTGCCCAGTCCTGCCTGCCCCCCAATCTTTCTCCAGAAGAAGCCCCCTAACCCTGCTGCCCCTCTCCTAGAGGGGTCCCAGAGGTCAGTTGACCCCAGACTGGAGGTGGATTGCTAGGTAGTGGCTTTCACCTGAGCTAAGGGAGGAGACCCCCTTCCTCCCCTCCCCTAGCCCTTCCTAGATAAACGTTGAAAATGGACTCAGACCTGGTGGAGGCTATGGCCAAATGCCAATTGTCCACCTGCTCCCTCCAACCGCCCCAGCACTTCTGAGCCCCGGGAGAGGGCAAAGTTAGTCTCCAAGGAGACAGAAATATGCCTGTAAGACCCTAAAAAAATGGGTCAACCATCCTGTCCAATGGGACCAGAGGAGTCTGGGCCTCAGCTCAAGGGGTCTGGGTGGTGTTCTAGAGCATAGGAGGAGAGGGTTCAGAGGTTGTAGGTGAATCTGGGGGTGGGGTATTAAGATAACCCCCTCCTCAATAAAGCCCTTTCGTACCAGGAGGTTCTGGATGAGGTCTCTTCCTATCGATCTATCCCCTAGTTGATCCTAAGCAGTGCCCCAAGGTGAGTCTGCAGAGGTCCCCTGCCTCTTGGGACTCACAGAGAACCCGCAGGAAAGAAACCATGGTAAGGACTATGCCCCGGTGCCGACGCGGACACTTAGCATTACAGCATGGGAACATCCGGTACCCCACAAACAGCACACCCAACCTGCCTCAGAGCCTCTCTCACTCCAACAACCGCGGTGCGTCTACCACGAGGGAGGCCACACCCAGCAGCACCCCGCGGCCTCCACCTGGTGGCGCTCGTGAGTCACACGCTCATGGCAGCCACACCCCTCACCCAGCCCCCAGCCCCCTTTGCCCCATCAAGATGAATCACACTCAGGTGGGGAGGGGTGAGTGCCTGAAGCCCTAAAACCACCTTCCCCCACTCAGCCAACCTTTCTCACCCGGCACCCTCTCCTGAAGCCCCTGAGTCCCACCCCAGCCTGAGACTTATCAGCTCCCAACGCCCAGAGACCCTCACCCTACCCCACTTTAGCGCCCCCTTATAAGTCTCTGCACCAGGGTGGGCATCTCTGAGCTCCTTTTGGCACGTGGCCGGGAGAGCTGGGCGAGGGGGGAGTTTGACATGAATGCGGCCAGCAGGGGGCGGGCGCGGGCAGGATGGGACCCCGTGGGTCAGCCCAGACCAATCCGGCCGTGCTTTGCTACCATGGCCGCCGGTTGTGAGCCTCCCGGCATGCGTCCCCGTACGCAAATGCAATGTTTGAGCAAGGTGGGTGTCAGGTGGGCTCTGGCACGGAGCCTGGGGGCCCCGCTGTCCCCATGGATTTTCTGGTCGCGGAGGAGGGGCCGAAAGGAGTGAGAGGCGGATGCGTTGGGGGACACGAGGCTGGAGTGAGTGCGCAATGTAGGAGCGGCCAGACCCCCGGTGGTCAGGGGTTCACACCTTGCCTCCGCGGCCCCTTCCCCGCCTCTGTCGTCTGCCTCGGCTGAAATGCCACCGTTAGTGCGTATGAATGAATCCCCTCTCTGAATAAACTGATCTCTGAGCCCTGAACCTGAAAGTAGAGATCTGGGGGCAGGCAGTCGGGGCAGCCCCTCACCGTCTTTCTGCCAGATGGAGCGGATGGTTGTGAGCATGCGGGACTCCCTCTGATCAGGGCGCCTGCTTACCTATGTCATTGGTGACCGGTGAGACCAGCCGGGAACCTTGGGGGGATGGGAGTGGCGGGCAGCCCTGCCTTGACCTCCCCACCCAACCTTTCCTGTGCAGGCAGCAGCTAACCCGGAAGTATTCCATGTCTGAGGAGGGTGAGGCCCGCTGCTGTCCAGCCACCCACCGCCCCCAGGCACTGGATGGTGGGTTAGGGTTACTATGTTGAGAACCTAGAGTAGGTGACTCACAGGTGTCAGGACCGGACCGTGTATGCTGGGGTGAGGGGTACTCAAATCCCTCTGCCTCCCCCAGAGGCCCTGTACCTGGGCACCGTCCTGGTAAAGTATGGCTATGTATACCCACTGTGTGACCCCCGCCCCCCACAGCCTCACCCTCCAGCCTGACGAACCCCCTGCAGGTTCCAGGTCAGGCTGGGCCTGGGGAAGGGGGGCACCCTGACAAGTGGACACCCTTGGGAGGGTGGTGCTGTCACTGTGGACCTGGGGGTCCGTTCCCCCGCTCTTTAAGGCCTGGACAGGAAGTTGTGTGTGTAAAGGCGTGAGCAGCACCCACCGAGGATTTTTCTGACTCCTAGTGTTTAGGCTCCACCCCTAAAAAAGGGTGGGACAGTGAATATCACTGGACAGCTGCTCACTGGGCGGCCCACCCCTCCCTATGTCTCCTCCAGACCCTCCCATCCTAGGACAGGGACTCAAGTCACCAGGATCCAAGACCTCCACCCCAGAAAGGAGTTAGCTCCTTGCTAGGTAGAAAATGACCGTGGCTGGCTGGGCCTGCTGGCCATAGGTGGCCTGGGAGATACTGACACCCCAGCCCCAGCCCCAGCCCAGACACTTTCTCAGGATGACATGGGGCGGGGGGCAAGGCCTAGGGTTTGCAGCTATCCTTGCCCCTGCCAGCACCAGATGCTGTATTTCTGTACAAGCACTTTGTGGCCAGCAGCTGAACTGGACTATGGTGAGTGACAAGGGTTCAGAGGTTCTGGAAGTTCAGCTTTAGGGCCATGCCAAGGGTATGGGGGCAGGGTCTGGCCTCTGCAGCCTGATGCCCCCCACCCCTGCTTTCCAGCCATATATTTGACTAAAAAGAACATCCGAAAGCAGGGAATTCTGGTTGGACATGAGAGGGGGAGACCTTCGCTCCCTCCACCCCAGGCAGAATCCAGCCAGAGGAACCCACAACCCCACACGTGGCCCCAGGCCTGAGTTTGCAAAGCTGGGCTTACTTTGATGGGGTGGATTGAGGACCTAAAGCATAGTCTCCTCCAGGGTTTACCCCCAAAGGATGATCCTGACCCGACACCTCCCCCCAGATTCACACCCCCCCCCCAGGAGGTTACCCACTGGAATCTTGTCGCTCTTTAGGACCGCTATGGCATGTGGGACTTGGTAGTGATGCGGGCCAGGGATCAGCCTAAATCCACGCCCACCTGTCAACCCTGACCATGCCCAGACCATGTTCCATGCCCATGTTTCCTAAACTTAGACCATGCCTGGACATGACCACGGTCCTGCCCATACCCATATGGCCACGCCCATATCCATGTGGACTCCTGGTGTGGTGCTGCAGGGTAAGCAGGTAAGCACTGGACTGCCAACTATAGTATCGGCAGTTCAAACCCACTAGCTGCTCCTCGGAAACCCTCTACAGGGTAGCTAGCTATGAGTTGTAATCAGCTCAACAGCACAAGGACAACACATCTGTCCGGCCCCTTCAACCAGATCCATGCCCACGGGTTACACTCCGACCATGCCTTCCCTGCCTAGGCCCAGTCACAACCACACCCCAGCCTCTGAGTCGGGACCACCAGCTGCATAGTCCAGGCTTGGTCCGGGACCAGCTGCCAGCCCTGGTGAGCAGGTTCTGTGATGAGCAGAGCTCCCCCAAAACTGCTTACTCCTTCCCAGGGCGGGCAAGCCGTGTAGAAGGGGGAGCAAACGTATTGGCTGGTGAACCAGCCCCCAGTGAGCCCACCCTTAGCCTCAATTTAAGCTCCAGGGTCTGCACTCCTGGCAGGAGGCACTAAATCACTGCCCATCTGAACCCAGAATTCCAGGGTGAGTTTCTCTCTGGAGTCTGAGGGAGGGCACATGAAGCCAAGGGTGGAGAAGACCCTTGAAAAGACAAACCATAGTTCTGATGGGTGGTTTGAAGTCCCTTGTAGTGAGGGACCATGCAGGGAGATGGCCAGGCCATCCTGGCATGAGTGTGCTCAGCTCTAGGTGGAGAGAAAGGTCATCTTAAGTCTCTGGTGGCTGCTGGGGGAGGAGCCCATGGGGGAAGGGACTGATAGCTGAGGGTGGGGCAGATTGGACATGTGTCTGAGGATGGAGTTTCTGGGGGCCAGGGGCTGGTGAGTCTTTGACTTGGCAAGTGGCTCTGACAGTGTTGGGGGCTAAGAATGGGGTAGGGAGTAGGCTGGGTTTCGATTTAGTGAGTGTGTTAAGTAAGGATGGGCTGGTAGGGTGTCTGGGTAGATGGGTGGAAGGATGCACGGGGGTGAGGGTGACGGCAGGGTTGGGAGGTCATTAGAAGGGGACTGAGGGATTAAGGTGTAGTTGTAGAAGGTGGTGGACAGGACAGCGGGGAGAAGTCACCAAGCGAGGTGTGCAGAGATCTCAGCTAAGGTTTGAGGCAGCGGTGGTACCCCCAAGTTCTCCCATCATGTTTCCACGAGCTTCAGAAGACAGGGTCTCAGTACTCTCCCCTCCACAGCCCGGGGTCCCCAGTGTGCTGGAGTAGGGTCCAGAGTAGGGGGCAGGCACTGCAGGCCAGTGTAGATGGTGCGTGCCCCGAATACACGTCCACCTCCCTCCCACTGGTCTTCCTGATCCTCCCCACCTCTGCCTCTTGCTCTCCCTGCTGCTCGTGGGGCAGTAAGTGATGTGGATGTAGGGAGGGAGGGGCATTTCCTGGGAGTGGGTAGCATCAGGTAGATCAGCAGGAGTTGGTGGGGGCCAAGCTGGCCCCTGCAGAGCTGCACTCAAGCCCAGCCCTCCCCAGCCTGATGCAGAGCCGAGACCCAGTTCCTATTTGATAGACCAGTGTCCCCCGTTCCCACGGGTGGGAGAGGGCAGGGGGCTCGCGCTGAGATGAAAACCTGCCATCTCCTCCTCCAATTTGGGCTATCAAGAGTTTTGGGTCTGAACATGCGAAGTTAAACCTGGGATCACAAGTTAGCAACATGGGGCTTTCTGTGTGACCCTGTTAGCAACATACGTTGAGTTTTAAAGAATCACTAAAATACGTCTGAAGACTCAAAACATTAATCACATTTGGAGACTCTTAGGCAACTCTGAGAACCTGAAAGGTCCATAGAACTTTCTGGAAATCTCCAGAGTCCTCCTAGAAAATCAGATCCTCTCTCCTCCACCCCAGTTAGGGGAGGGGCTTTCCAGACTGGCCCCCTAAAGAAAAAGAACCGGAGGTAGGTCCTTGATCCCATGGGTCGGGCCCAGTTCATGGGTTTTCTCAGGAAGGAGTTCAGGGGTGAGAAGGACCTAGCTCCGGCTTCCACTCATCCCTGTACGGCCCCTGACCCACTCTGACCCTTGTGATTCCACCCACCCACCTCAAACCCCCTACTCCTGACCTGCTCTGAACCCCTAGCTGAGGATCTCAACAAAGACTAGGCAGTGAGTGCGGCGGGGGCGGGGGCTCCTGGCTGGGACCCACAGGGAACATCCCTACAGGCAGTTCCTGGCACCTGGTGCAGCCCCCTGGGTCAACATCTACAGCCCTCCATGGAGCCGACCGCAGAGAGGAGTATATGTGTGTGTGGGGGGGGTGTTGCACCGGCCTCATTCCTACGTGTTGGATGATAACCAGCTGCATGTGTACATGGTCATGAAGGTGAAGGTGTGCTGGGACAGGGTCTCCTGCTGACCAGTCACCTCTGGATGGGACACTCCATCGGCTTCATGCATTTCACCTTCAAAACGTCTAAGGATTGCTTAGTTGGTAACTTTGTTTCATAATCACGTCAGAATTCACCTGGTTTAAAATCAAGGTACATTTAATAGTCTGCCTCCATCAAGTTTCCTATATCCCACTGAAGTTACTGATTCAAAGTTGACATTTTTCTTGTTTAAATACAAGCCCTGATATACACTGATTCCTCGCCCGCCTTGCTCAATCGTATACCAGTTCCATCTGCCTCACAGTGTTGATTCCTGGGGTCCTGGAACTCTTTATGCAGGGTATGTGGAGGGTCCTTGTTCCCTCTTACATGTCCCACCTCCTGGTTTTTCTCTGGTCATAGAAACCCGTGGGGGAGCCAGCTCGGTCTGATTTGAAATCTGGACAGCCCCATCTGCTAGCACGTTCACTAGCTACCTGGAAGCAGGGCTGAAGGCCATCTCTGCATCCCTTGTGGGATTCCTACCCTCGGTTCCTCAAGTCCAACATGCACAGGAGCGTGCTGGCAGCGCTGTGCACCTACCCGAGACCAAGAAATGGTGAGTACTGACCGCTGACCGCTGCCACCACATACTTACCATCTTCTCACCCATGCCCACAGTGTGTTCCCGTTCCAGGGACCCTGGATCGATTGTTCCTGGGGGTGGGGACAGCCCATTGTGCACCTAGCCCTCTCAGCCCTTCCTGTCCTGAAAGCCTGTGGATCATGGCCTTTACCGTCCATTCTCTGGGCCTCAGCCTCCTGGCACCAGTGCCCCCTCTCTGACTGCTCCCTCTTCTCACCTCCCAGAGGGAGACAGCTGAGCCCCACTTCCTGGGAGGGACTGCAATAATCTGGCAGGTTGGGGAGGATATGCCACCTGAAGGAGGGTGGGCTGAGATGGGCAGGTCAGACCAGAGACCCCAGAGGCTGATGCTTCACGCTCCCACCCTCACTGAGGGGCACCTCAGCCCCAAGACCACTGAGTTCAGGGCAAGCTCCGGGAAGCAGGAACTCAGCCAATTGTCTCTGACAAGCAGTGTTAACATGAATGCTGACCTTGAGTGGGAACTCTGGAACATTCCTAACTTCCAAAGATGTTTCAGGACAAGTCTGCAGGCCCGGTGCTCACCGTCCCCCATGACTTCACCAGCAGACTTGCATAATTCTGATGTCTGTGGCGGGCAGTGAGGCAGTCTCTGGCCCAGGGTTGGGGAGTGCTGTACCCCAAGCTCCCCAGTATCTCCTCCCAGACACAGTCCAGAAGGGAAGGTCCAGGCTTGGCCTCTGGGTTCAGTTCTGAAGGGTTTAGTGGGCGGGGGCCAGAGGGGAGGAATGGCCACACCCTCCCCCCCCCCCTCAGAAATCAATGACCTTGTCAAGGGCCTGTGCATGCATGTCAGTGTACAGGTGTGTACATAATGTACACGTCAGAGGACAGGGGGGAGGTCTACCAGGCTACATGGACTGTGGAAAGCTGGCCCTCTGGGGGACACTGTCTGGGGGTTCTGTGTATGCACTTGGGTGTTGGTACACAGGATGAACATTGCCCTTTGGGGTGGGGACAGCCCATTGTGCACCTGATCCTGTCAGCTAGAGGAAGAGGGCTGAGAGGAAGGGGGGAGGGGGACTATGGAGAGCTGGGTCTCCCGGGGACAGTGGTTTATTTATGGGGGGGAGGGGCTCTGTGCTCTGGTGATTTTAGGGGTAGAGCCATGTGAGAACTCTCCAGGTTCCAGGCATATGCTGTGGGTGGTGGGATCACTGTGGATTAGGAACCACTCGCCCTCCTGTGTGTGCTGGGGCAGTACCATGGGGTAGGCATTTATGGAGGCCTAAGAGTTTGAACTGCAAGGTCGGAGGTTCAAGCTCACCAGCTGCTTCTTGGAAACTCTATACAGGGTCGCTGTGAGTTGGAATTGACTTGACGGCACTTCACAACACTGGCGCTGCCGGTTAATACGGTAAACTGCAACGTTAGTTTGGGCCGTCAGTTCGAACTCACCAGCTGCTCCTTGGAAACCCTGTACAGGGTTGCTATGAGGCAGATCCCAACTCGATGGCCCTTAGCAACAAAAGGGGAACTGAAACCCCTGCTTACCAGCAAAGGAGTGTCTGGATCCCCAATTCCAGAGTGGGGTCCCCAACCCGTGTGATCTATCCAGGGATGACTTGCACCCTCCCAGAGGGGGCCCTACCTGTTACTGCGGCTGGCTCCGAGTGGCCTGTGGACTGTGACCTGAAGGAACCCTCCCTGTCCCTCTGTGTGGACTTTCCTGGGCATAGGACCTTCCCCAGACCCCTTCACCGACAGGGTATCTCAGTTTGAGCACCTGTGAAGCAAGGGTTTCAGGTTTAGGATCAATCGGGATGTTTCTGGGGGCTGAGAAACTCGTCACACCTCACTCCTAGTCACTGACCCTCTGGGCAGGAGGCCGGGACTGGCTTGCTGTGGGGCAGTGGGGTTCTCAGACCCTAGATACAGCTGGACCTGTGGCTGATGGATCTGGGGGAATCTGTGTAAGAAGCTGGTATAGAGGGTCCCTCACCTCCTTGGCTGCCCTTCCTACCCCTGCAGTCCACCACCTCAGGACCACGCGCACAGACAGACAGACAGACACTCGCCCATGCCCTAGGGCTTCTGAACTGGACAGTCCAACCCTTTATTCACTGGTGGGCTGGTTGCTCTGGCTCCAAAGGGCTGAGCCCACACACTGCCCTCAGCCCAGGACACAAGGCACAGAGGTGAGTCTTGTATCGGGCAGCCCAGCTTGAGTGGTCAGCACCAGGAAGGGTCAGGCCCTGAGGACCTGCATGAAGAGCTTCCAACCAAAGCCATCATTGCAGTCAGCCCGACTATGCTCCAGGCACCGCGGTATGGAGAGGCTGGCACCCAAGACCACCCCCAAGGCCCACCTGTGACCCCTGGGGGTTGTCCACAGGGGAAGAGGAGCCGCTGAGGGACGTCTAGTCCCTCTTAAGAACGGCCTTAGCAAAGATACTCTCCTAGGAGTGAAATCCAGTGTGAGGGTCAGGGCCCGTGTGGCTGTCTGGGACATGGAAGATGACAGCAGGCCCCAACGTTCCCTCGCCCACACATGTGGTGGGGACGGGGCAGCCAGAGCAGGGAGGACAGAGCGGGTCTGGAGATCACCAAGTCAGTTTTCCGGAAGTTTAATTGGGCAGCATCGTCACGACTCGCTCCGGTACCGCAGCCGGAAGAAGTGGTCCCTGACAGCCTGGTCGCTGTTGTCCCGGTCACGACCCAGGTACACGACTCTGCTGTCCAGGATACTGTCCCGCACCTTGTGTTTGGTCACCGAGACCAGGCCAGGGGCAGCAGGATTCTCTGGGCCTGTCAGCAGGATGTAGGCGGCGTGACGGCTTGGCTCCAACAGGACAGCTGTGGGGACATGGCTGTCAGAGCTGCTCTGCATTGAACCTGGGTCCTGTGAGGACCCCACCAGGTGCACTCACCCTGGAAGGCAATGATATTGACCGAGACATTGGCCAGCTCCAGCAGGACACCAGGCAGGGTGGGGTGGAACATGTAGAGGCTGCGTGGGGTGTCCTGGGGGGAGAGGACCTCCATGGATCAGTCAGTCCACTCCCAACAGACTGAATCCTGAGGGATGTTCCAGCCACCACCATAGAACTTGTCAAACTTCCACTCTGTCCCCGCCTTCCAGCCCCTCCAACCTGATCCTTCTCTGGGACCCTGTTCCATCCATGTCGGGTGGAAACAAGGCCTCACTGTTACCCCCATGTTCCTTCTTCCGGGCCCTGTGGCAGCCCCCTTTAGAGGAGAACTACTTTTGACATGGGGCCATACGTGGTTCCCCTCCCACCACACCTGTACCATCTGGTTGGTGCCGACCCCCTCAGGCAGGCCCCAGAAGAAGAAGGCGGAGCGGTGGTCTGCAGTCAGCACGCTAGCGGACGGTGGACCCCTGGGGAGGTCTGGGAGGGGCTGATGCCACAGGATGGCCCCAGTTTCGAGGCCCAGGAGCAGAACCTGGGGAGAGGTCAGCTGTGGGCAGTGGGCATGCAGGCCATCTTATCGAGACCCTTCCCATCCCAGCAAACCTGTCAGGCACAGTACCACCCTTGTTCCAGCTGTTTGGTCAACTGTGGGGTCCAGCAGGAAATAGTTCCCACCTGTCTGTTGATGCCGGTTCCATTTTCAATGACCACTGCCAAGGTGTCGGGTTTGTAGTGACCAAGGATGGGTTTTCTAGGAGGAGAGCCGACAGTGAATGGAGGGAACCCCCAGACAGGGGCCTGCCCATGGTGACCACAGCCCCTGCACGCACCTGAAGACCTGGGTGTCACCGAGGATCCAGCGGGGCACCAAGTCCTGTCCATCCAGCAGCATACAGGCCTCAGAGCCCACGAGGAGCAGGTCCTCGCCAGCTCTCCCAGGGACAAGCATCTGGTAGCGGATGGCCCTGGGGCTGTGATAGAGGAGGCGGGCACAAACCTCGTGTGAGCAGCCAGGGGACCTCGGCCCATCCGCACAGCCACGGTTCTTTATCCCTTGACCAGGTCCCCCTCGACAAGACATGAGTGAGACCCCGTCTTCCGCTTGTTCCTGTGTGAACCCCTGATGGCCTTGGGCCTGTCCTGTGCCCCGTCTGGGTGTGTGGTGGGCACCAGTGTGCAGACCAACCTGTAAGTGGTGGTGTTGATGGTGCGCTCCCAGATCAGGTCCCTCTGGAGGTGGCTCTCTCGCCCCGTCATCCCCTCCAGCAGACTCTTCAAGGACCAGCCACAGAGGGAACGTGCTGCTCAGGAATAGGGGAGTAGGCATCACCCCAAGCCTGGGGGCCACCTATGCCCCAAAGGCCAGCCTCTGTGCTCCTCTTGGTTTGTGGGGACAAGTCCCAGAGCCCTGCACATTAGTACCCACCACAGGGAAACAGGAGGTAGTGGGCTCCTGTCCTGGTGACGTGTAAGAGTACGTCCTTCTCCCCGTCTGTCCCGAGGCGGCCTTTGCTGCCAACCTGGCTCCCGGTGCCGCCTGAGTAGAGGTAGCAGCTCATCTGCAACCACAGAGGCATTGGGGCTTGGAGACAATCCTGACCAAGATGCCCAGCAGCATGCAGGCCTGGCCAGTCCACGGTGGGTGGGAAGCAAGGAGGGGTGCAGGGTCCATGGGTACCTCCTTGTCCTCCCTGGTGAGGACCAGCAAGTCAGGGAGCCCATCACTGTCAACGTCAGGTAACCCAAGCAGGAGACTCAGGATGGACGTGTTCCCCCCGAGGCTGCTGGGATGACTCCATAAGGCTTCCCCTAAACACAGACACCACCGCTGGACACTGGGTCCCCCTCTGCAGTCCGTACGGCCTGGCACCAGCCACAACCTCTGATGGCTAGGGGACTGGTACCAGCTCACTACACCCCAAGTAGCTGGGACCTCGGAAGGGGCCTTCTGGGCTTGTCTGTGCTTTCCGTTTGACACTAAACATCGCAGGGCCAGTGGGGAAAGGTACAGGGAACCTGTTCAGCCAAACCCCCAACTTCTTCCTACACAGGCCTCTGACGGCCGGGCCGGGAGAGGGTCACCACATCCTGGATTTGCGCCAGGGTACCCCTCCATCTCCAATCGCAGAGTTCCCTGGGACAGGTACGCACAGTAAACACCTGCATGGACAAGCAGAACTGTGGCCTGCGGCTTCATTGGACAGTTCTCACCGCCCTGTCCAGACGGTGGCACCCTGACACCACGCCTTCCTGTAACACAGCTCACCACTGTGCCCCTCCCGTCCGCAGTACCTGGCTGTCTACCTGTGAAAGGGTCCAAAGCTATGACCAATCCGGATCCCTCCACGAGGATGCAGGCTGACAGCACCCCACTGTCCCTCTGCTGGGGGCTAGTACACTGTACCAGGGTCACATCCTGTGCCACAGGCCTCTCCCAGAGCAGACTCCCATTGGCTCCAGACACAGCAGCCGCGAAGGCACAGGGAGAGGAGAAGCCTGCTGGGGGTAGAGCGTGCGTCTGCTGTGGTCCTCTTCTGCTGCCCCACCCCTTCTCCTGCCTGCTGGCCGCTCTGAAGTGACCAGCAGCAGGGTGGGGGGCTGAGGGCTCGGCTTGCACAGTGGGGAGGGTGATGAGTGTGGTCTGTTGAGGTCTCATCACTGCTCCTTAAACACTGGCGGAGTAATGGGGTGCCCGGACAGACAAGCCCTTGATAAACAGCCTCCTTTCTGGACAAAAGCAAAATTACCTTCATCTGCGCAGGATCGGTTGGAATTGCTGCTGTTGGCGGTTTTATAAAGGAAGAGGATGTCTTGGATCCTATCTCTGTTTACGTCTTCCATGGCCAGAAAGTTATAGGCGACTGAAAGAGACAACCACAGGCTACCTTCCAGGGCCAACCAGGGTCAAGTCCAGCACTTGCTGCTGCCCTGCTGAGCTCTGCTCCGAAGGTCTGTCCCAGTGTGCACCTCCCACCCCAAGACTGCCCCCAACCCAGCAGTGCTTCTTCTTCGCCAGGTCTAATGACTTCCCACAGCCCTTTGGAGCAGGACAGGATGGACAAGGTGACCAAGCTGCCACCCTCTATGAAGACAACGGTCTGAGATCTACATCACTCAGCCACCCCTCCTCACTAGGCTACTCATTTTATAATTCAAGGACTAACAAGGTGAACTCTGATCCTTAAGATATCGATGTTTATGCGTTCCATTTCATTTTTGACCACTTCCAATTTTCCCAAATTCATACTTCGTACATTCCATGTTCCAATTTTCAATGGATGTTTACAGCTGTTTCTCCTCATTTTAAGTTGTTGCCCATCAGCAAATGCAGGTTCTGTGTGCTTTTCTCCCCCCGAGCTTAACTGTATTCATGTCATTATGGTCAACCCTACTTTGAGGAGGCATTTTTTTCCACAATCGCTTTCTGAGTGCCCTCCCACCTTCCAGTCCTGTATCTGACAATGTTTCTCTGCTATGCATAGAGTTTTCAGTGACTAGCGATTCGGAAGTAGTTTGTCACTCTTTCTTCCTAGTCTGTCTTTGTTTTGTAGCTCATCTGAAACCTTTCCACCATGGGTGACCCTGCTGGTTATTTAAAACACCGGTGGCATAGCCCTCAGAATCACAGCACCTCAGACCACCACAGCACGACAGACAGATGAGTGGTACCAGAGCTATCCTTTAATTTTGTATAGCACTGATTTTCACATAAAGACTTGGTCTGGGGATAAGTGAGGAGTGGGTGTGTAAAGAACTCTTTCAACTTTGTAACAAGAAGACAAACAACCCAGTTGAAACAAAAAAAAGGAACAAAATATTTGACTAGAAATTTCCCACAGGAAAAGATGCTGATGGTCCTTAGTCATTGGGGAAATGAAAGCTAGAGCCACAATGAGACCCAACTTCACATCCAGCAGGAGAGCTACAATAAAACAGATCCTAACAAGACTTGACAAGGGTACGGAGAAGCCAGAACGCCCTTGCACTGCTGCGGGCACTGTAAAGTGGTTTAACTGCTTTGAAAAACGGGTTGACAGTTTCTTAGAAGTCAAAACTTATCATGAAGTCCAATAATTCCATGCTAGAATTCCACCCCAGAGAAATAAAAACGTTTTATGTCCACGTGAAGATTTATATGTGAATGTTCACAGCGGTGTTATTCACAACAGTAATAAACACAGTGAACAATACAGGTGCTATCAACTGATAAATGGATAAACAATATGGTCTATCTATGCAAAAGCATACTATTCAACAAGAAAAAGAAACATGTTGTTGTTAAGTGCCGTGGAGTCGGTTCCGACTCATAGTGACCCTGCACAGGGTTTCTGAGGCTGAAAATCTTTACGGGAACACAAAGCCTCATCTTTCTCCCGCGGAACAGCTAGTAGTTTCGAACTGCCGACCTTGAGGTTAGCAGCCCGATTCGTAACCACTACGCTACCAGAGCTCCTTTTTGACAACATGGATGAATCTAAAAACATGCTAACGGAGAGAATTTAAGCTCAGACAAGGTTTTCTACAGTGTGACTCCATTTATACAAAATATGAAGAAAAGGCAAATGTATGGAACTAGAAAGCATTCTAGTGGTTACCTGGAGTGGAGTCCTGGGGTGGCGCTGTAGGATAAGCACTGGACTGCTAACTGCAAGGTTGGTGGTTCAAACCCACCAGCCTTGGCAGGCTTCCCAGTTTCATTGCCAGGAAGCTCTGTAGCACCCTAAAATTCCAGGGAAACCTTGGGCATAGGGCTGACAGCCGCTCAGGGCTGATTTACTATCCAAAGCCACTTCTCACCTCACAGCGCGACACATGGCACCGGGGAGCCAGCCAGACACCAGGAGACTCACCTGCGGTGTTGTAATCAATTCTCCATGTCCGTTGTGACGCAGGTCGATCAGGACAGGGAACAATGAATGAGACAACAAACACCACTAAGAGGCAGATAAACAGGGAGACGAAGAAGGCCACTGTCCGGCACCGGGACAGTCGGGACCGCGGAGGTGGGCTCTTGCAGGGGTCTTCCTTATCGGAGCGACTCTGCAGGTTCTCCTGAGATTGCCTGTCATCATTCTTCAAGGGATGGATTTCCGCTTCCAGATCCTTGTTGTCCACCATCATGGGCACATTCCTGAGTCTAACTCCTGGTCACTGGGCCAATGAAACAAGGGTTAGTGAAGCCTGCTGCCACCCCATCCCCGGCCCCCCAGATCTCTATCACTTACAGTCCCTTAACCGTGGCCCATTTGTCCAAAAGATGGAATGAAATCCTCATTGATGGTGCCACCTTAAGAAAGCCTTTACTTAATGGGAAGCGAGGAGGCAGGACACAATTTCATCCTTAGCGCATAGGTGTCTCCCCTCGTGCCTCCTCATCCTGGCATGAGCGGAATATACACCAGGCAGTGCTGGAGCTGACAACCCTAACCCCGCAATGTGGGCGGAACAGCAGGCCCAGGTGAGAAGTTGGGACTCACTAGCGGGCCAGGGACCCCGTGTCACAACCCTGCCCCTTACTAGCGGTACAGTTGAGTACTGGCCACTCGATTGGACCATGGCTTTTTCCTTATCAGTAAACGGGGAATCACATCAAGTCAGCAAGTACATACAAAGCTCCTGAAACAGTGCCCAACGCATCTCAAGCACCCACATACTAACTAAGTACTATTGCTATTATTTATCATCGATAAACCATTTAGACAGAAGTCCACGCGGGAGGGAAGCAGACAGCTGCCCAGAGTCTCACAGCGAGTTGACCTAGCTGCTGGGACCTGCCTGACTTAAAGGGTCTTGCTCTTTCCTTGCACCCCTCCCTTCTCAGCCTGGACTGAGGTTGAGACTTGGGAATGCCATCTTGGAAAACTAAGGGCAAGCCCATTGAAGAGGGTCGTCTTCTGGAAACGCTGCTGAGTTGATTCTGCTCCAGTATATAAGAAATAAACAAATGCCAACTTGTGTCAGATACTGTGCAGGAGGAAAATGCGGCAGTCAGCGTCTATAAAGATGACAGCTTTGGAAACCCTCTGGGGTAGTTCTACCCTGTCCTTCTGCTCTCCAGCAGTGGGGTGTATTCTAACCACAGAAGTTCTATAGAGTGGATGGAAGGGGTTAACTATGAGACCCACGTAACTGGAAGTACGCCCATTCATTACTGAGGACTTGCAAGGATGAGGCAGGAGGTGGAAAAGGAGGGGGTTACCCCAGAATAGACAGTGGCTGTTAGGAATGGCTCCCTCTAGGGATGACCCAAGGAAGGGACCGCTAATTCTTGCTTTATACTTTTTACTTTCTGTCAAGAACTATTTTTCTATTATTATTGAATAGAAATACTTCATTTAAAGACTTCTATGCATTCCCCTTAGTGCTGAGACATGAATGTCAGCAGTTTAGGAATCAGAGATGTGCAGTGCCTCTGTTGTAGGAAAATCAGTGAGTCATGGCTTCACGAGCTCATTAAACCCAAGCACCTGACACATGGTGGGGTGGGGCAGGCTTATCTGCAAAGGGTAACCAGGAAACCAGCCAGGAACAGAAACTGGTGGCAGCTCATCCCAAAGGGTTGGGAATGAGACCTAAAGGTCAAGAAAGAGCATCGTTTCATTAGCAAAACCTGTCACCAAGTCTCCAGTGAAGGGATGCTTGGAATGTCTGAAGAGATTCCTTTGGCAAAGGAAAGAAAACTGAATGAGAACTCGGAATGCTAAAATTCCAGATTAATCTGTTACTTAACAGTGCTAAACATTCAGGAAAGATGTCAGACTCAGAATCAACCAGGCTTCATCTGTCAGAAGCCGGAACAGGAACATTTACAAGGAGATGTGGGGGAAAGCAGCCCATGACCTAGACAGTCACTCGACAGAAACGGAAGGCACACAAGGCCAACGCCACTCCACATCCATCCTTCAAGATGCTTCCACATCTGTCCTAGGGGACTTCATGTCTGTCCTATGAGAAGACAATTTTACATCCATCCTTTGTAGCATTTCATTTCTGTTCTTGAGAAATGACTTCACAACTGTTCTTACTACTTCATAGCTGTTCCAGGAGAAGATGACTTCACAGCCGTCCTTAAAGAGAACAAATTTAACATCTGTCCTCTGAGACTTCACTTTTACCCCATGAGAATACCACTTCACACACATTCTTGGAGAAGGCAACTTCAATCTATCATTTACGACATAAATGAGTTCACACGCATCCTATGGAAAAATGACTTCACATCTATCCAATGAGAAGACGACTTCTCATCCATCCTTCAAGATACGACTTCATACTGCCCTTTGAAAAGACAATTTCTCATCCACCTTTCGAAAAGACTTCACACCGTCCTTTGAAAAGACAACTTCTCATCGCTCAATTCCCAGACCTACCTGGAGGACTTGCTCACCTTAACTCCTGACCGGATGCTGGTGCACATGGTCAGCAGTCTGGACTAGGTATCGGCACAGTCATAAAACTCAGAGACTCTAATAAACAAACACAAACCACAAAGCTAGGGATTCTACAGTCTAGTAAAGCCTCAGCTGATATGTGCATGCTTTGGACAAGGTAGGCAAGTCCTTCAGGGAGAACATTCCCAGCTGTGGTTCCACATTAGAACCATGTAGGTTATTTTAAAGTCCTAATGTCTTTTAATTACTTAAAATATTTACTGATGAAGATCAAAGAGCACAGCCTTCGGTATGGATTGCATGTCAATGCAAAGAAAACAAAGTCCTCACCACTGGACCAATCAGCAACATTCTTATCAACGGAGGAAAGACTGAAGTTGTCAAGGACTTCATTCTTCTTAGATCAACTATCAAC